TACAGATTCACAGGCATAGGACCGTACGCGTCAAACTGTCGCGAAGGCTGACGATGCAAAGGCTGCTGATGACGCTGAGAGCCAGGAGAACGCGCTTGGTTGTCGTGATACATCTCTTGCGCTTGCTGATAACTCATGGCGGCTAAGACAAACGAATTCCCGACGGGCAGCCAAATTCTAGAATGTGGGCACAAAAATCCACCGCACAACAAGCCCGTTTCAATATCCCAATAGCGTGAACGGGCTACTCAAACATAGGAGCAACCGAATAGAAGCCACTAATCGAAGACGACCGGCAGAATGCGAACGGCGCTGTCGAAGGTGGACCAAAATTCTCGACTTGGAAGCGTGTGGGGAAGAAAATAGTGGTTCTAGACACCAAAAGTCACGGCGGGTTGGAATCTCTGGTTGGCGTGAGAAACAAGTCAAACCCAAATAGCAGTCAAAAATGAGACGAAAAACACAAAACCGCTCACAACTGCTCGTCTCGTGGTGCTTTGGTCATCAATGCCAGGCGTGTCCTCAGGCGTCAAATTTTCGGAAACTTTTTTCCCCTTCTCCCCAAGGAGAACTCAAAAGCGAGGGAAATAAAAAGTGAGATAATGCGAGGAGAAAGGAAAAGAAAAGAAAAACTACCACGGAAATGAAAAAAACAAAGATAAACGCAGCAAAAGAACAGAACAGTTTAAAAGGGGAGAAGAAAGAAATAAAAATTGCCACTACCCTGGATTAAAAGGTAAGTGCCCAAGAGGGTTGAAGTATGGGCGAGTTGACGGACCGGTGGTGGTGGTGAGGGGAGAAAAAAAGGGAAATCGAAGAAAAGAAACAGTTAATTTGATCGCAGAGTCGAGATTGGAGGTTAAGGCAGGGAGGTGGTGACCCGGGAGATTATTGGGGGGTGTGGGAAAGCACGCACGCCAAACGGCACGCAGAAAAGCCGGAACACGGCGACCGCTTTAGTTCTGGTCGGTCCTTCCGCGGATCCGCCAAGTCGACGAATTGGATAGATCGGTCTGCGTTGATGATAATGGCGGGCTTGACGGTGTGAGATCTGTTGAGAATGCTGGTCGATCCCGTTAGAATTAAATTCTTCTCCCAAATTCAGTCTTGTCCAGTATGTCTATAGATCGTTGCAATCACAGTAAATTCACACACACACCCACCCCTGTGTTATCAAATCCACCAAAGACAAAATCAAAGCAAACAAAAAGAAATTAATAATAATAATAATAATAATACTTGGAAATGAAACCCCGAAAGAGAGTAAAAAAAAAAATAATAAAAAAAGGGTGGGAAGAAAGGGAGAAACAGACAGACACACTAGAGGATAGCGGATGGGATGAAGGGATTCCCGTAATTGATCCAAAATGGGGAACGGGGACAACGGACGGGGAGAAGAAAGAGAGACGAGGAAGAGAACGAGAGAGAGAGAGAAAGTGTTCTCACTAGTCTCAGTTTTATGTGGTGGGCTTTTTTTTTTTTTAAAAAAAAAAAAAATTCCTTCTTTCCCTCTTTTCTTTTTCTTCTTTCCCTTTTGGTTGGTGGTGGTTTGAATGTTTTGATTTTCAAAAGAAAATTGATAGAGCAGAAGTTCAAGTCACTCACAGTTCAATCACTCTTCAAGCTTCTGTGCTTTTTCTTTTATAATCAAACTCCTCCGGTGGGTTATTCCGTTTCCTCTCAGTCTTTCTTTTTATATCTTTGCTCAGTCTTCTTTCGTGTGCTCCTGTTTGTAGACTGTAATTTTAATCCTTTCCTCAAAACCTTCCTTCTTCAGCTGTGGCGGAGGCGAAAATACTCAGGGAAAAGGTGGGAAGTGGAAACAAATTATAATACAATGGAGAATCTGAGGCTTTGCCCAAAAGGAGAGATGGGTTCCTATTGGTGTAGAGACTTGCACCAGCAAGTGTAAGTGTGCAAGAGGATGTGGAGAGGCAGAGAAGAAATGGAAATTTTTAAAAAAAAAAAAAATAAATAAATAAATCAACGGCGAGTTGAAATAGGCAGAAGTGTGTAGGTAATAATTTGTTTCACCATAATAATTGAAACACAGGAAGAAGCAAGAAGAAATTCAATCTGTAGTTTGACTGTCCGGGCTTCTGATGTCCATCATTTATGTATGCGGCAGTTTCCTGTTCCATCCTCAGTTAGGTATTAGTTTACCTATGGACACCTTAGGTTGTTCTTTAGTCCCATAAGAGCCAGGTACTAAGGTATTGAATTGAGATTACTGTACCTGAATTGCAGTATTAAACTAAACTGCGTCAGGTATCATGTCCATGCGCTCCTTTTCCCCCTCCTTCAACATCCCCTTCGAGTATTCCCCCCTCTCCCTCTAAATGAAGAGGGATTCTTACTGCCTGGGGAATGAGGAATCCAAAAGGCCACTCAGGTCACCTCCTTCAAATTCTCTTTCTAGAACACATCTACTCCATACTCCGTATTCCTTCCCGTTATTAATAGGCCTTCTAGCTTGATTATTTCTGGCTCGGCATATATGAGTTAATATCCCTTAGATTATTAGGATTCTATTTTCTCATTGTCTCTACACCAATCACAGTGCCATCCACTGCACCAAGTTCCTTGGATTATTGGCTTCTATCCGGCAGCTTTACCAAACTCACGCAAGTGGTGACCTTATTTGCATGTTTCAAACCTTCAATAGACTGATGGATTGTCTCTCAACTTTTTCTATTGCTAGTTCCTGACAAAGGAAAAGAAAAACAAAAATGTGCACTTCCCCCCTCCCCCTCCTTTTTTTCTTGTATTTTTTTTATTATGACTATTATTATAATTATTAGTATTATTTTCCACCTTCTCCTTCGGGCGGCACGGGGAACTAACCTTGAGAAACTTACTTTAACTCCTTAAACGGGTCCTTAGTATGAAGTCACTTACTCACCACGTACCAACTTGAAGATCCAGTCCTTTTTCTGTTTCTTTGTCGGGACGTTTCCGTGCCACCAAATGCCATCGTCTTCGGTTAGCTTGTCCCTAACGACTAACTAGTCCCTGTCTTTCCCCCCATGTCCACTCGTCCGAAAGGTTCCTGATTGACGGTTCTAGAGTGGGAGCTCCAACGCATCCTTCGAGTCTTAGTTAGAAGGTGGATTGGGATCCGCTCGAGGTGGGTAATGATTCCATTACGGAGTACACCAATTCACCACCTCCGAACAGGGGAGCTTCGGTACAGTCGTCCACCGCCCACACGAGCTGTCGCGCCCGCTCTTGGCCGTCTTGATGTCAATATTGTTATTCTTGCTATTGGCGACGTGGTTGGGCGCAGGTTAACCATCTTCACTATGGCGGGCGGTGAGGGTAGCAGCGTCGCCGAAATCGATCAAGCTGTACCTAAAGATTCGTGACCGTAAAATTGTTCAGGAGTCGGTGCGTCGTCCGTTGGGGATGGAGATAACCCCTGATGAACACCCAAACTCCCCCCCCATCTGTCCGTGACCTTTTCCCTCATCCCCGGAAGACTAGGCTGTACGTCAGGACGACATATTTGCCATCTCTTTATTATTAGTAGCGGATGTGCTCGAGACCATTCCCCGTGGCTATTATTATCACATGCGATTATTATGATGTTATTTACTTGACACGCAGGTTTCTGGCGTCCGCTCCCTAACTGTTTAGCTCATATGAGGTTCGATGACAGGATAAGTCGCCCCTTTTCCGACGAGAAATTGCGAGGCATGATCCATCATTTCCGACGAATAATGAAAGAACTATCACTACCCGATAGGACGAAAACGGTGAAGTTAGTTGGGATCCGCTGCAAATCCGCACTTACTACTAGCTAACTATGGGGAAAGGTCTAGTCTAATATTCGGCGGTTTGGGATTAACACCCAAGCTAGAACCCACTAGAGTGTCACCAGAACCAGTCGGATGGAGACCTCAGATTTCGCGCCTTTCTCCTGAGAGGAGTCCCAGTCCGATATCGTATTCCTTGTACTCGTGGTCTTTTCCTTTTCTTTTCTCTTCGTTTGTTTGTGTGCATGTGTGTTCCTTGTCCTCTAACCTACTTCGGTGTCCCTGATCTCGAACAAGTCTCAAAGCAGCATCGTCCGTCACCTGTCAGAACGTGCGGGCTGATGGGGTACTATAAGCCCTACTTGGTCTCGGGATTTACTGGGTTAAGGTATAGTAGGTACGTAGTAGCTGACCGATTCCTGCACCTTAAGCTTGGGCACCCGCGATGCAGCTCCCAGCTGGTCCCATGGTGTGGTCCGGGGAGGTCTTTGGGTGATCCCGTACTGAACTAAAAGCGAAGCGACATCTATAGAACATTCTTAGTCTGTTCCCACAGCGAATAACAGCAGGCATCTACCATTATGGGGCCTCAAAAAGTACTAGGAGCCTGCTAAGGCGCACCTACGGGTGCTGATTGGAAGCCTTCCCTATAGGCAGCTGATGTATCGGTCACATTTACGTGATCATATGGTTTTGAGGAGCGAATTTATTTTATGATTGCCCGAGTTTGGACCTACGCAGATGAGTGGTAATCTGTCGGATGGGCCTGCACGTATCTCATGCACCCACTTTGGTGTGGTCTATATGACAAATCTGATGGAACTACTGTATTGGAAACTCAGCCCTTCTGTCTGCTGCACGCGTAGTATTTCAGCATATCCATTTTATACCATTCGGGCCTATAGCATATCTTGTATTAATCTTGCCTCTTTGGTACGTTTTTCATTTCTCAATTTATTTTATTAAAACAAAATTCTTTACTTTTTTTTCCTCTTCCCTTTGGTCTCACTCACGAAGCAGCCACCGACAACCGATCACTGACAGAATTATTATTACCTGTGGCAAAAGATGCTAGAAAAAACAACGGAATATCATTTAATTCCCTCAGACTTGGATGGGCAATGATTAACCTGTAAGTCATACATTCCAAGACATTTGCCCTTTGCAGAACAACTATCAGTTTCGGGCAGATATCATCGGACACAGCTGTCTGTGCCATTTCGTCTTATATTTTTTCTCCACTATAAAAAAAAAAAAAAAAAAAAGATTATTGTTCGGGATATGAAATTCTCGACTTACTTTGTTGGACTTGAAGAGGCAGTCTGCGTTTTCGGCTCCCGTTCTTCTTTCCTTATGTCTATTTTCTTTTTTTTTTATCTTTCTTATTTCCCTCCATATTTCCCTTCTTTTTTAATTTTTTTCCCTTCCCTCAGATTCCAATATGCAGTCCGTGCTTGTGCATACTAAGGTACATATGTATGTAATCGGCAAGCCACAAAGGTCCGCCAATCGACACACTACCTTATGTATCACTTTTCTGTCATTTCGGGAATCCCCAAAAACAAAGAAAAAGAAATAGAAAACAAGTATACTCAACTCAGAGAAAGCTAGCCTTACACAATCACAATCCTTTAAAGTATACAATTACATATATTACCTACTTGATCCGTACTTCTGTCCGATCACCGACTAGTGGGGCCTAAATTCGCCGCAGCTCACAAACCCTGGTCACGGATGCAAGGGTCTACGTGGATACATGGATATCAGATTCCTTCGCCCGTTGAGGAGGGTTTTGTGGAGATTTACAATGCATGGTAGTCGACCTTTGGTTGGAGTACCTGGGATTATGTAGGACGTAAGGGTGATTCTGACCCTTGGCTTTTCCAGGATTTTTTTTTTTTCAATGCTGTTGTTGTTGGTTGATTTTTACAGGTCTTTGTTTTGATAACGTAGGAGTACTATGTCATCCAGCATTCTATTTTGTTTTCTTCATTGGCACTTTAGCACTACTGATTGAGTAGGCTACACTTGGATGAATGTCCTAGTTTAGATAATTAGATATGCAGTAAGTTAATTTGTTATTGGAATTTATTATGTTTCAATCCATGAATCCATGAAGCACCCGGCCGATACTTGCCCTGCTGTCTGTCGTTTTATCTGTTTTGTTGGCATTTATCCCCTACATTCCATTCGTCTGCTGTGGTTTTCCTTCCCTGCCCTCTGTGAGAATTTACCCTACCTCTCATCTGGCTTCCTCAGCAGCTTCTCAAATTCACTCCCCCTCCGATCCGACCAAGGATTGCCCTTGAAGATCAAACAGAGCAAAGTAAAAGCAAAGTACGGAGTACATACATATACATAGACGGAGTACAATAGAAAACCCCCCGGAATACCTACAACACCAATCTCCATCTCGCAGCAAGGCACCACTGAATAAGTCTCCTATCTCTGCTTTGCTCTACCTGCAGGTAGCCAGTAGCCAGTAGCTAGTAGAAACCACGTAATTCGAGAATGGAGTTTGTTTAGCCATGAAACTTCGAACTCTGAAGATCTATCCATCCCCTCGGAACTCAGAGAAAGTTAGGTTCACAACCTTAGTTGAGTAGTCCGTAGTCCTTCCCCCGTCTCTATGGGGATTGAAAATTTTAATTTGACTTTTTAAGGTACATGCGTCTCGGTTGCTATTCGTCTGCGATACAGTATTCTTGGGAAGGATTTAATTTTTTCCCCTCCTGTTCGCTGCGTTGGTGGGAAGTAAGGGCGGGTGAGTGAGTTAACACGTCGTCGTGCGACTCGTGCCGAGTGTTCTGGGGAGTGGGGAGTTCATGGGGGTTGGTTGGTGGTGTGGTTGAGTTACTTATTTTCTTTTTCTTTTCTTTCTTTTTTTTTTTTTTTTT